GATGGATGGATGGATGGGTGGATGGATGGATGGATGGATGGGTGGATGGATGGATGGGTGGATGGGTGGATGGATGGGTGGATGGGTGGATGGATGGGTGGATGGATGGGTGGATGGGTGGATGGATGGATGGATGGATGGATGGATGGATGGGTGGGTGGATGGATGGGTGGCTGTGGTTTCCCTCACCATTTGTTATTAATATGTTATTTAACCCTGGACATTCATTCATTCACCCACAGTCATTAAGTCCTCTGTGCAGTATCTCTCCCGTCATCGACACGTTCTGGATCATTCCATCTCATCCATCAGAGCGGTACCTGACACACACACCCAGTCACAGGTCCTGGGTTCAAGTCCCACCACTCACTCCAGTCGAGAAAGAAGCGAGCATTCACCAATGAATCATCAATCAATCAATAATATAATCAATAGATGATCCTGTGTTATTATCGATAGTACTAGGTTACATGGAACCAATAACCAATACCCCAATCAATACTATAATCAACGGACGATCCTGTCTTATTATTGATAGTAATAGATCCCATGGAATCAATAATCAATAATCATCAATACAGTCAATACCCAAGAAAGGAATGGAAAAACCAATATGCCATATCGATAAACATCCATGTGCGGAGTGTCAATATCGATCCATCCAACCCTATCGATAACCATATCGATCTGTCATCGATGATCAATACATATCAATATCCAGATCGATCCATGCCCCTGTATGTACCAGTACTGATCAATATCCATCTCTATCGATATGTATCCCAATGAAGATCAATACGCAGATCTATAGATAGCTCTCAATACTAATAGCTATCAATATGATCATTATCGAGATCCGTCAGTATCTATCAATATCGATACCTAGCGATATCTATCAATATCAATCAATATCAACAGAGAGATCTATAGATATCGATCAACCTAGACATCGATCAGCATCGCTCCATATGGGTATCTATCGATAACTATCGGTACAGATATCTATCAAGATAGGTATCGATCGATATCGATCAATACAGATATCTATAATTATCTATCAATGTAGATAATGATCAATATAGCTATTGGTCAATAGGTGTCGCTATAGATACCTATCCATAGCTATCAATACAGCTATCGATACGTATGAACATAGATATGTCAATATAGCAATCGATCAATATCAATACATATCTATCGATACCTATCGATATAGATATCTATCAATACAGGTATCTATTATATCAATCAATACAGATATGAATCGATATCTATCAATACATATCTATCGATCTTTATCCTTAGATATCTATCCCTATGTATCAATATCGATAGATATCGATATCTACTAATACAGATATCTATCGATATCGATCAATAGATATCTATCGATATCGATATCTATTAATATCTATCAACAAATACCTATCAATACAGATACCTATCGATATGTATCAATATCGATATCTATGAATATCTATCAATCGATATCTATCTATATCTATTAATACAGATATCTATCGATATTGATCAGTATCTATCAATATCACTATTAATATCTATCAATAAATACCTATCTATACAGATACCTATCGATATGAATCAATATCGATATGTATCAATATCTATCAATAGATACCCATCGATATCTGTTAATACAGATATCTATCAATATCGATCAGTATCTATTGATATCGATATCTATTAATATCTATCAATAAATACCTATCCATACAGATATCTATCGATATCTACCAATATCGATATCTATCATTATCAATAGATATCTATCAATATCGATAGGTATCGATGTCTATCGATATAGATACCTATCGATATCGATCAATACCTATCGATACCGATCGATACAGCCATCGATTCCCATCCATGGAAGTTTCTCGAAGGCCTCTATCGACCCGCATCGATCGATCGATCCCGACGGACCAATCAGCGCCGATCGATTCACGTATCGATCCGTTATCGATCCCGGGGAACCGCGATGGGGGGGCAGGGTTATTATGGGATGTAGGGGTTATTATGGGGTGCAGAGGTTATTATGGGATGTAGGTGTTATTATGGGGTGCAGAGGTTATTATGGGATGTAGGGTGTTATTATGGGGTGCAGGGTTATTATGGGATGTAGGGTGTTATTATGGGGTGCAGGGTTATTATGGGATGTAGGGTGTTATTATGTGGTGTTGGGTGTTATTACGGGATGTAGTGGTTATTATGGGGTGCCGGGTGTTATTATGGGGTGTTGTGTGTTATTATGGGATGTAGGGTGTTATTATGGGGTGTAGGGTGTTATTATGGGATGTAGGCTGTTATTATGGGGTGTAGGGTTATTATGGGATGTAGGGTGTTATTATGGGGTGCAGGGTAATTATGGGATGTAGGGTTATTATGGGGTGCAGAGGTTATTATGGGGTGTAGGGTGTTATTATGGGATGTAGGGT